GCCTGCCTCTTTAGAAACAAAACTGGAAAGGACTGGAAAGGACTAGAAAGGACTAGAAAGGACTAGAAAGTTACTCTCAGAGACCAAGAGGGACATTGTAACTCGAGATAGTTGACATGTAAGAACACTGAGCCAAATGAGAGTTGTTTTTGTGTGTTAGCTTTTGTGACTCAAGTTGCACATTCTAGCATCTGCTATAAAATCCAAATATTCTATCGTAAAACTGCAATACTTCTGTAGTCCTCATCTCAATGTAGAGCTGGCAGCTTTTCACTTCTCTAAAGACTGGTTGAATTTTGTGTACTTAAAAAAAAAAAAACACGCACATGAATAATTCCTGATGTTACATGAGTCATTTAGAAAGTGAAAATATTACTGCCCGGTCTTCAGAGTTGAGACATAATCGGGTGATTGTTCAGGTTCTGTAAATATTAGCCATCGCCTGGGGACTGACATCCAAATGGAGGTTTCGGGCTCAAGATAACCAGAGAGCACACTGGAATTTATTTTCTGAAGGGGTGGAGAGGAGTGGTTGGAATCGCTTTCAGTACTATGCTTTCTTCTTTTCAACTTCTTGGGGTCCTCACCAAAGAGCTGTTGCTTGTTCTTCCCAACACTGTTTTAAGGGAATAAACAAGATGCAGAGGGATGCACTGAATTTGTCTTTTGTCAGTAGGCTGTGTGGTAAAAGGCCTCCATGATAACCGTATGCTGCTGAGACCCTTTCTAGGCCAAAGGGGATCGCATCAGGGTGTCATTCCTCAGAAGGGTCACTTGACTTGGAATATATTTTTCCAAAGGAAATGGACAGAGTCCTGTTGCAGAAATAGCATTCCACCTGGTACTAACATTTTAAAACAGGCCTATTCTAATCCATAAAACATTTCTAGTTTTCCCTGAAGCTTTGGGCTGCCTTGTGCGTGAGTAATTTTTGGAGAAACACCCACGCCCGTTAGCCCATTGTTGGAAACTGTTGGAGGAGGCTGCGCTGGAGCCTGGAAGTGGTCTCCCTGTGTGTGCCTTCGAATCTGCCGCTGAAAGCCAGAGGAGATAAGTGGTTTTTGCTTTGCAAGATAAAACTCCCCTGTAGAAATTCTGAAGATGAGTCACAAGGATCAAAATGTTTAATACTTCCCCACAATGGAAACAGGTCTCTATTTGGGGGAGATGGAAATTTCTCTCACTTTCTTCAGCTCAATCTTTGCCTAAAAGTTCTTCATAGATATTTTGAGAAAGTGCCACACAGAGGAAGGGAGAAAATGAAATTAGCATTTTAACATCTCACAGGGGGAAAATAAGCCAGAAATTTCATTTTGATTTTTTTTCCAGCTTAATGCATGTTCTAAATACACTGCTTTCTTTGCGCCTTAGAACTATGTGTGTGTGTGTGCACGCGTGTTAAAGCCATCAGTTGGTAATATTTTAGGGTGCATTTACACATTACTATTCTTTTTGGAGAGAAGAGAGGAAAATGTGAAAGCGATATTTTTTTCATTTTTCCCCTTCACTATAACATCTAACAAGCTTAGAAAATGAAACTTGATGGCAAAGAAAAGGTTTGAGCAGAGTCAAGTGACCTAGGAAGCGGCAGAGGAAAAAGCAGCGGAAAGCAAAGCCCTTGGAAGGCCTGTGGTCCTCGCTGCCCACGGTCACTGGGACGTAGCAATGTAGGTTATGTGGGTGTATATGTCCAACATGAACACATGAACACACACTCGCTTCCTACTTAACCAGAGTTACGTAAATGTCATTACATTGGTTTGCTTCCTGCATGTCAGCCAAGTTCAGCGACTTTTGCCTATGACATTAATATGCAAGATTTAAACAACCGGGTAGGTACATCTCGGGGGGTGAGTTTGGAGAAATCTATTTGTGGCCTGCAAGACATTCTATGGAGAGAGTCTGGGCTATCCAATTTATTCTATGAGTATTTTCAGTTTTTAGGTCTTGACCTATTTTTTTTTTAAGCTATTTGCTGTAGGCTTTTCAGAAGAAAAATTTCCTATTCTTGAAATGCTATGATTTTGACCCTGTGTGAACTCTGCCCCTTCTGCTCACCCCCCACCCCTTCTCAGGTGTCTGGAGGTCAGCTACACCTAGGACCTGTTGTCAACAACAGGAGATGGGGGGATGCATGGCTGCTCGGCCTTCTGGTTAGATCAGGCGCAGGAGGTGGGATGCTGTGTGGAGTGTCCACTGCTGAAGCCTGGCGTGCCTAGAGCCGTGTTGCCCACATAACAGGTGCTTGGTAATTTTTGTGAATGAACTTGCTGAGTAAATAGCCTTTTCTGTGGTACCCTGCGCTGCCAGTGCTCCGTGATACACCGTACACCTGGTAGATTTGCTGGACTACAAAATGGGGTCAGATACATAAAATATTTGTATGTATGTATTTTTAATGGTCATTTCAATTTGCAGTGGGGTGGTGGCTGCAGGCTGGAGGGCGAGGTTGGGGAGGGAAAGGCATGCTTTCTCTGTCGCACAGATACCCCAGGGGTGGCAGTGGACCCAGGCTTCAGGGCAATTTGCATGTATTTGCATATCATTTTCCTTGTTGCTTCTAACGCTCTGGAGAAAGGAAGGGCATGATGTGAAAGTGGGCAAAAACATTCTCCTGAGTTCACATTAGTTTTTCCCTCCAGAAAGAAGTTTTTAGAAGTCTGCCATGGCGTTCCAAATCTGGGCAGGCCTGGTGCCTAGGAACATTCTGAGAGCTGCACGGATCTCAGGGTAAGCCCAGACCTTGTTTCCTAAGATCAGACGCTCCCCCTCGGCAGCGAAGCTCTCGGCTGCCAAGCGTCAGTCCATGAGTTTCCCCCAATTTATCAGCATGTTTGTCTCTCGCCTCCCTCCCGCCCTACTGTAGAGGCTGCATTAATAAAGCCATCTAGGTTGTATATCCAGACGGTTTATTTATTTTTCTTTCTTAGGAGGGAGAGCGTTTCCACGGAGGCATTGAAAACTCTATTCTTTGCCTCTCCCCCTAACGGGGAGCAAGAGCTCAGGAGCTTGTTTTTGGAGAGCTGTGGCAGGACCTGACTTATGTAACTTGGTCTAACAACCCTAGGTTGGAGCAGGCCATTTTTAACAGCTTCATGAACCCCAATGCTAATGCCTTGCTTTTCCTGTAATAGAATCTTGTTGTTGAAGGACGGTGCCGAGTAGGGCCCACCCTTCCATCTTAACCTACCCGGAGACTGCTCCTTTCCAGTTGAGCTCCATTCATTTCTGGTTGAATAGGTTAAGCAAAGACAGACCTCGCTGTTCTCAATTCACTTTATGATCCTCCCATCATAAAAAGTAATATCAGCACCTTGCTTTTCATGTCAGAACTACATTTGAGCCGCTGTTCCCTATGCCCATGAGTAAATCCCATAAAAGCTGCCCGGTTGTACTGTTGCTATTTTTCCTTGTGGGTGATTGATGGATGGATGGGTGCTGACACCTCAATGAAGCTATTTCGACTGCCATCTCAATCCGATGATGTGAGGGGTATATTTTCTGTCCATGCCTCATTACTTCAGAATGACATTCCTGGAACTTCATTTACTTTTTCCCTCCTTCCCCGAAGCGCCATATTTCTTCCCATCTAGGTTATGCATGCCATAAAAAAAGCAATTTGCTATTATATGTGGCATAAGGGCAACACTTTCCCTAGGAGGTAAATAAGAAGTTCTTCTCCTTTTTTTTTTAATCCCAATGTTGAATTTAGGGATCATGTCAAAATTTCCAAAACCATTCCAAAGGCAGACTCTATGAGAAAAGATCATGGTTTGGTTTCATTTTCTCATTACTGAGGGTTTTTTTTTTTTTTTTTTTTTTAGGGGGGCGGATCATCTTTATAATTGAAACAACACAAACTACTTCCTTTGTTTCAAAAATCATCTAGATTGTAGGTCATGCCTACAATAGTTCAAGATTTTCACCTAGAGCGGAGCAGATGTTGCAACACAGTGCAGGCTTACGTGTCCTTCGAGAATAAGCCAATCCACTGTTTCAGTGGAATCATGGATTTGTCTATTACAGGTTGTTTTGAGTTATGTAGGAATTGTTTAACTATAGTATACACACCTACCCCTGCTCTTCCAAACTGTGCGCTAGGCATGCAAGACTTTTAATATCAGAACATGCTCTCAGCTTTTTCCAAGTTGACTTAGGGCCTGATTTTAATCTGTGTAATACAGTATTCCCGTTAATAATAACGTATAATTAAGACATCCGTTAAAAATCCATAACGTTAATTTAATGGAGAAAATCTAATACAGTTCTATTGGAATTTTTACGTTAAATTAACTTTAACGGGCTTTTAATGGATGTCTTAATTAGATCTCATTATTAACGGGAATATTCCACAAATTAAAATTGGGCCCTTAAAGTTTTAATGAAAAAAGTTGCGGGAACACATTTAACATGGACACCCTGTTTCAGGCGTTCTGTTGCTTCCAAAGGAAGCCAGCTGCATTTGAGAGCTGTCAACAGCAGGTCCTGCGGCGTGGGCACAGCCGCGGGCACAGCTGTGGGGTGGGCCTCCTGGCCTGCCCATCACCCCTGCTGGCTCCCCCGGACCAGATCTCCTGTGGCAGTGGGCATGCTTACAATGGTTAAAAAGAAAAAAAAAAGCCAAACTCATCGAAAAGATAATGATGAAGCCGTAGATGCCTTCCGCCTGCATAGAAAAAGTCTTTGGCAGCAACATGGTTAAGCCTAACTGTCTGAACAACTTTCACAGAAGATGAACGCGATTCGGAGTGTTTCTTGGCTCAAACTCTGGTTTAACTGAATAATTCTTCTTTGCGGTGATGAATCGCTCCCCAGTGCAGGGGCAGGACTGGGCAATCCAGGTGCAACCGTAATTGTTACACTGAACAGAAACATTTCCTTTAGACAAACGTTCCCAGGGGGGTTATAAATAGGAAATGGACATTACCATGAAAAGCAAGCTTCCAAATGTCTACACCGAGGGCAGCCTACTTGGAGATTACACTGCGAACGCGGAGTCTCCCCTCCCTTGCCTGTTAGAGGCTGACGGAGTAAGTCCATCAGCGTCCTCCATCACTCTTTCTCTTCAGTGGCACTTTGTTTTCTCGGGACAGCGAGAAGAGGACCGTGGAGACGAGACAGGCCCATTGCAGTTTATCAATGAAAATCTAATATCGTCCATAAGCAGAGAAGTGGAAATCAATAATTCATTACCAAATTGTTAGTGAGGATGAAGAGAAATGGCTGGGGTGACTTTTTTTTTGGCAGCCTTCTCAGAGCGGGGTGTCAAGAGGCGTTCGGCGAGTTCAGTGTCAGGGCGTGTGATGCAATGAAGAAGGCCTTCGCACGAGGCGGGTCCAGGCTGGGAGGTGGAGGCTAAGGCATTTGTCCTGCAACGGGAATCAGAACAAGAAGAAAAGATGCGTTATTTTCCGAGGTGCAGCCCGCGTGGCCGTTTCCCCAGGGCGGCCGGATTGCCAGCCTGCACTTCTTCGGTACTGACGTTCTGAGCACGGTCAACCTAGTCCCGGCTGGAAAGCACCCGGATGAAAGGCTCTGCAAAGGGGGAGCCGAATTCGAACCTGGGAGTTGGGGAGGAACTCATATTTGAAGCCTGAAAAACGATAAAACATTCACATATGGCGCAGGTGTTTGCAGACCCGAGTTCAGAGGCACAGTTCACGACAGGCGGAGACGGAGGCAGTGCCCGCACCCCTTGCTGGGGAAGGTGGTCCCGAGCCCACCGCACAGAGGCAGCCCCAGAAGGGGAGGCAGTGCTAACACACGCACCATATGGACCAGCCTGCAGGTTGCCATGCAGGGTGAAAAAGAAGACAATTGTCCTTACAGATTCCTTTTTATGAGAAAGATTTACAGAGAGAAGGAGAGACAGATAACCCACTGGTTCACTCCACAAGTGTCTGAAATGGCTGGAGCTGAGCTGATCCAGAGCCAGGAGCCTCTTCCAGGTCTCCCACGCCGGTGCAGGGTTCCAAGGCTTTGGGCCGTCCTCGACTGCTCTCCCAGGCCACAAGCAGGGAGCTGGGTGAGAAGTGGAGCGGCCAGGACATGGAACTGGCTCCCATATGCGACCCTGGCACTTGGAAGATGAGAATTCAGCTAACTGAGCCGTAGTGCAGACTCACAGGAGCAGAGAAAGCAATGGTGGCTGCCAAGGGCGAGGAGATACAGAGGTAAACCATGGATCTTCCCTCGCTCACTCCTCCTCCTCCTGCCTGCCCTTCCCTTTTCTTCCCTCTCTCCTCCACTTCCTCCTCTCCCTTCTCCATCCGTTCCCTCCCTTTTTCTTCCCTCTTCTGTCCTTCCCTCCGCCACACAGTGTGAGTTTTAAACAAGATGATTGGCATTCACTGTTAGCTATTGTCTACAAATATAACCAACTGGATTGTATACTCAAAAGTACTTAAAATGGAATTGTCTGTTTTACCATAATTAAAAAGGGGAAAATACTGTGTATGTTTTTTTTTTTTTCCCCTCAATCATAGAACATTTGAAAAAAAAAAATCCACCTGTGGCCCAGCATCCAGAGGGCCCCATTCCCTCGGTGCGTTTCCGGTGGGTCTTCTCTCTTCCCACGCTGTTGTGAGCAGAGGTGCTGCTGCAGGATGCTCCTGTGTGAACCCGTTCCAGGGACGCAGCTCTGCAGAGGGTTCCTGAGTTCCAGCGCACCAATGCTCACACTTTACTGAACCACTCTCGGCTTCCTAAATCATCCTGATAATGCTGCTCGTGTAATTTCCTTGCAATTTTACTCAATCACATATACTGCTTGCCGTCTCTGTGCCTAAAGCTTCTCTCGCCATGTTGGGCTGTTTCCACGGACCTCAATTCCAAGTGTGGGATTCCTGAGTCAGAACACGTGAATGCCGTGTGGCGGGGAAGTGCCACTCCAGGCGATCCACTGAACCTCCGTCTCCCATCGCCAAATTTTTTTTTAACTGTTTGGATTACTGTGTGGAAATCATACAATTTCCATTAACCCCATCTGAGCGGAGTCCTTTGTTAATATTCTGTTGTTTAATACTAGTGCTCATTCAAATGAGAAAGCACCTTAGATCTAAAGACCATTTCCTTTGGCAAAGGAAAGCTTTCTGGTTTCCAGCAGAATAGAAACGTTGACAATGAGACTGCACGTGACAGGTGTGCAGCACTTGTGTACAAAATAGCGTAACAGACGTTTTAAATGATTTACTGGTAAGAAAGAGCATGTAATAACAATATCAGCAACCAGTTACTGCGTACTGATCAAAATCCAGGCACTTTATACACATTACTGACAACTCTTCAAACGTTTTCTCTCTCTTTTTAAATAGAAGATCTCAACGAGGTCAGCAATTGGTCCATTGTAACATAGCTGATACAAAATAGGACTGGCATAGTGTGGCACAGTGAGGTAAGCTGATGCTCGCAAGGCCGGTAGTCTTGGCGTGTGGCTTGGAGTCCTGGCTGCCATGCCTCCCATCCAGCGCTCTGCTGATGCACATCGGAAAGTGCAAACGATGGTCTGAGCTCCTGGTCCCACAAGGGAGACCCAGATAGAGAGCGGGGTTCCTGTGTTCTGGCTGATCCACTCCCACCCAATGAAATATGGAGAAATCTTTCTCTGTCTCTCCCACTCTCCGTCACTCCTCTTTTCAAATAAACAAACTCTTTAAAATGATAAGTAAAAAGTAGAGTAGGGAAGCAGCTTTTTTTTTAAAAGCAATTATTTATTTTTATTGGAAAGTGAAATTTAGACAGAGAGAAAGATCTTCCGTACCAAGTAGTTGCAATGCCTGGAGCTAAGCTGACCCAAGGCCAGGAGCCAGGGAATTTTTCCGGGTCTCCCATGTGGGTGCAGAACTCCAAGGTTTTGGGTCATTCTGGAATGTATTCCCAGGCCACAGACAGGGAGCTAGATGGAAGGTGGGGCCCATATGGGATCCCGGTGCATGCAAGGTGAAGGCTTTAGCCATTAGGCGACTGCGCCGGACCTGTTTTGTTTTGTTTTTGCCTGTTTGTTTTCTTTAGCTTAGTGGTTAGGATGTGATGGGGACCCATTACATCTAATCAAACACACAGCCGGTCTTTTTCCTCCCTACAAAACATCAGGGATATATCGGACTGTGACCTTCCGGAAAACAGCCCTGTGGTCTTCTCGTACAAAGACGAAGGAAGTTGTCCAGTCCCAGTGGTCTCTGCCCTGATTTCAGAATTGACTTTCTGGGGTCCAGGTGTGAAAGGCTCCTGTGGCCCTGAGGATGACGGCGCCCGTGTGTCTATGCCGTGCTGGCCACATGAACCCGTGTCTGCCCTCATGTCAGTGTCATGAAGCTGTAGTGCACAAAGTCAGGATGGCAACATGTTCCAGCCTATAAGACAAGCGGGGAGGGGCAGCTGTGGAGGTGGCCATCCTCGTGGCCTCCGGAGTCCTGGCTTCTGAAACGCCTTGTACGGTGGCCGTGCTGCCTGAAAGAGTTAAACACCAACAGCATTAATGATTTAGATGCCTTTCCCCAGGAGTATCTCAGTACAGTTGGTTTTAAATTCCAAGTGGGAGTGTTTTCTATTAAAGCCTGGCTGTGAGGCTGTTTGTGGTTGTGGAGTTTCCCTAGGTCCCACCGAGGCTGACGGAGGAGCTGGGTTCTTGGGGAGGTCAGTGGTCCTGTGACGGGAGCAGAATGCAAGCAGAGAGCTGAGATACTGAGCCACGGTGCTGCAGTCTGCTCCTGCTGGCTGTTCATTCCTCCTTGACTTTCTTTTTTTTAAAAAAGATGTGTTTATTTTAACAATACAGCAACAGAGGGGACAAGGAGAAAGTGGAAGAGAGAGAGCCTCTGTTTTCTGGTTCACACCCCAAATGCTGTGATCAAGACTAGGTCTGGTGGATCTAGGAGCCAGGAAATCCATCTGGGTCCCCTACATGGATGGCAGGGGCCATCAGTCATTGCTATCCCAGGAAGCTGGATCAGAAGCATGACAGCCAGGACTTAAACTAGCACTCTCACGCGGGATGCTGGCAGGGCAAGTGTTTCTTACCATGCTGTGCCACACTGATGGTCCCTACCGCAGTCTTTTTTTTTTTTGTAAAATTTTGTTTATTTTTATTGGAAAGTCAGATTTACAGAGAGGAGAAGAGACAGACAGGAAGATCTTCCATCCATTTTATTGGTCCACTCCCAGAGCGGCTTCCACAGCCAGAGCTGAGCCAAACCCAAGCCAGGAGCGGATCTGAAGCCAGGAGCCAAGAGTTTCTTCCCAGTCTCCCATGTGGGTGCAGGGTCCCAAGGCTTTGAGCCATCCTCTGCTGCTTTCCCAGGCCACAGGCAGGGATCTGAATGAGAAGTGGAGCAGTTGGGACGTGAACCAGCGTTCATGTGGGATCCCAGCACTTGAAGTGGGGAGGATTAGCCAGTTGAACCATTGTGCTGCCCCCTACAACCCTCCCTGGCGCCCTCCCCAACTCTCATCTTAAAAGGAGGATCTTTTTCGGGCCCGGCGCGGTGGCGCAAGTGGTTAAGTCCTTGCCTTGCACGCCCGGGATCCCATATGGGCGCCGGTTCTAATCCCGGCAGCCCGGCTTCCCTTCCAGCTCCCTGCCTGTGGCCTGGGAAAGCAGTCGAGGACAGCCCAAGGCTTTGGGACCCTGCACCCGCGTGAGAGACCCAGAAGAGGCTCCTGGCTTCGGATCGGCATAGTATCGACCCGTTGCGGCTCACTTGGGGAGTGAATCATCGGATGGAAGATCTTCCTCTCTGTATCTCCTCTCTGTATATCCGCCTTTCCAATAAAAAATAATAAAAATAAATCTTTAAAAAAAAAAAAAAAAAAAAAGGAGGATCTTTTTTCTAGATCTAAGGGTGAGACTCCAGCAGACATCAAAGTTGAAAATGAAGGGAGGGGAAATAGAGAGTGGGTGTGATTAGTTCTCACAGCTCAGAATGAGGGGCACCGTGCGTTCCAGGGGACAGGAAGCAGATCCCACGAGCAGCCTCTTGGTTGGTAGCTGAGGCCAAGCATGGCTACTCCATGCGAGTTGCTCATAGTATGTGGGGCGACTACTGCAAAAATACAACAGGAATCAATAAAAGTTCTAATTACAGATCGAATCAGTCATCAGCAGCGTGCGTAGGGTTTGGCAAGATTTGTAAGTAGAGCCAGACAAGGGTTATAATTATTTGTGTATTAATTATAGAGCCACTAACAGGTACCAGGTCCTCATGTTCCCTTTAGTCCTGTCTGTCCCTCTTCCATCTCTGCTGCATTGTTGGGCTTCATGGCCAGCCACAGGGTGGTCGGGGTGTCTCTAGGGTTGGGGCATCCCTGGTATTTGACGGATCATGGATGGTATTATCTGCCATTCTGCAGCATGTTCTGAAATATATTGGAT